TCAGACCAGCCAGTCTGCTGACTCCGCGACAGACTTGGTGGTGCTCCCGCCCCCCACCCACCTCAACTCACAGTGAACTTGCTTCAGAGAGGAGAGCTGGATGGAGGAGAGAGAGAGAGAGAGAGAGAGGAAGAGTAGGAGAGAGAGAGAGGAGAGAACGAGGAGAGGAGAAGTACGAGAGACGAGAGAGAGAGAGAGCGAGAGAGAGAGAGAGAGAGAGAGAGAGAGAGAGAGAGAGAGAGAGAGAGAGAGAGAGAGAGAGAGAGAGAGAGGAGAGAGGAGAGAGAGAGAGAGGGAGAGTGAGAGAGAGAGAGAGAGAGAGAACTAGCAGGGCGCCACCAATTCCTGCACGGTGTCTTCACTTTACCCGAGCATTTGACACAGCACCTGTGTCAACAGGCCACCAGTCACGGCACAAGTCATATTAAGCCCGGATGATCGAAATACGTCACCGGCAAGTTGGCCAGAAAACGTTACCGCTCTACATAGCATACAACATCTGCCCTCCCCCCCCCGCTCCACTCGAAGAGCTCACAGGCACCTTAACGCTCCTAACGACAATAGGATATTTTCTGGTCGGCCATTGTCGCGGGGAGGGTGAATACCATACTCGAATCGGTGGGGAGTGCCTGGGAGCGTTCCTGTTTTGTCACATACCCCCGTCAGTGCGCACACAGGGTTTGCTGCTACCGATGCCATTATTGTTGCGCGACGATTGCTGTGTGGCAAAATTGCTAAATGGCATTCTGTAAAACGGCCTGTCCGGGTTATCGCGGGCTCTAGAATGCGTAAGGCCAGCATTTTATCACTTTTACGGGACGTGCACCTAAATATTTTGATCCAGATGTTCTGCATGATCTTTGAATGTTTTGATGCTAATTGTAGGTCCGTACTCGGCATTAACACTAAGCTGCCGATTATGTGATCAACTGCACAGGTAATAGTTAAGTTCATCCAATATCTTATCGTCCAGAATTGGAACATCAGTGATGAAATGAGTCTTGAACTATGAAATTACCGATATAACTATATTTGCATTTCAAGAAAACAAGAGCTTCAAGAACAGGATGGACATTGAACAATGGGGATGGAGACCGATTTCCAAAATTTCATCAACATCCGCCCCTGCGAAGCCTTAGGCCAATAAACGGCAGGCTAGCTTTTCTGGCATCGATTATTCCTGAAGCCAGTACGTGAAGAAAAGAGTTACGAAGCGCTTTCAAAAACAGTCTGGACTACCTTTCACACCTCAAGTTTTAAGGCACTGTCAGTTGCTTCTAGCCCGCGATCAGTTTTATAGTTGCAGTTCAGTACATACATGCACCAAAGAATATCCCGCGGCAGAAATTGTAGTGCATTTTGTATGCGTTACTGCCGCTATAATTGAACGTTGCTAGCCTGTCTGTCTCAAATAGCCACAGAAATCAACTTCATGAAAGAATGTAAGCTATCATGGTGTTTGCTATTTAGAAAATTGTGCATAATACCGAAGCATACAAAAATGGCGGGTTTAAGCTTTCCAACTACAGGAATTTCCGCCGTCATCAGCATGAACTTGGCTTCTAGCTGGACTCTAGCACCGGGTCAGTCAGTCATAAAGTGGCGTTCGTCGTACAGGTCGGTCCGCTTGACATTACTTATGACTACATATGTCTGTGTGCTCGACAGTTACCTGACATTCGCATCTGACCTCAAAATAGTGACCGCGAGCACACTGTGAAGGAGTGACACTGTGATGTGAAGGCGTCACGCACGCAGTGTCACCCCCGTTGAAATTTCCGCCCTGCCAAAGGAGCGCACTGCGCTTTAAGGGCCTGTGCTCACTAACAGTCCGATTATCCGTACCGGCCGGGCGGGGCTCGTCGCCTGGTCAGACCCAGAGCCTCTTCACGTGAGGACGGTCGGTTAGCTGCGCAGGATCGCGTGCAGCGTGCCACATCAGGCGGTCACTTTTCCACCTGGCGGTGTGCTGCAACAAACACCAACGGTGCATTGATAAACACCTCCAGTAGGACAGCAGGCGGCGACCGCAACGGACGTGCGCCTCCTCCACAACAGCCAACAGTGGGTCAGCAGCTCCATCCACTGCAGCATACAGTGGGTCAGTACCTCCGTCCTCAGCACAGCTGCTGGGCCATGTCTCCAGGTCTGAGGTCGAATCATCGGCGCCTGGCCGCAGCGCTGGTCGCTTGTCTGTTGCTGACCAGCGGCGCCTCCGGCTATCGCTGGCTGACCCTTAATCCGACTTCCGGATCCGAGCTGACCATGCTGTCGGCTGGTTCAGCCGTGCAGTGCGGCCTGCTCTGTCTCCGCCAGCCGTGCTGCAACGCTGTCTCTTACGGCTCTTCCGGCGACGCGCGGCGCTGTACCCTCCTCAACAACCCCGCCTGTGAGAGCGGCTGGCAGCCGTTCTGCGGCAGCTGTTACAAGTTCATTGGAGATACGAAGCTCTGGGATGACGCTGAGAGGGCGTGCGGCTTGGCAGCTCGTCGCGGTCACCTGGTGTCCATCGGCTCCGTGGAAGAGAACAGCTTCGTGACCAGCCTTGTGAGCCCAGGCGTTGACTTTGTTCAGATCGGGTACCAACACCTGCCCGGCTATGAGGATGACGAGTTTCGCTGGACGGATGGCTCTCCCACCACATACCTGGCCTGGTATGCCTCACAGCCCAACGAAGACATGGGCGTCAAATTAGGTGCAAATCTTGGTGTGCAGGCTCTCCAGTGGAATGATTTTCCTACAACAGGAGAAAGTGCGCCATATGTTTGTGAATATTGAAGATGTAATGACTGCATCCTGGGAGGGATGTTACACGCATCCCAAGGTCTATATTTTCCGCCGCCGGGAAATGCAGATATTGAAGGAAAAAGGCAAGGATAGGTTGGGAATTTTGTGATAAATGGCAGCTTGTTATGTCATGACAAAATTAGCCTTGGCATTGCAAACATCGTGTAACGTGGTCGCCACGAACGGCAGGTATGGAGATGGATAGGTAAGCGGAATTCTCGCTACGATGGCTGTAGCGTCCATTTCAAGGGCTCAAATTTTCAATAAGCTCAGCTCCTTGAAGCTCTCAGTCCAGCACCTGCTGCAGCTGGACCCTGGTTTTAAGCCACTGGATGAGGCCGCTGAAGAGCATCCTTTGATATGGCTTCACTTCCTGCCAGCGAGCATAGTCTCCGGACAAGCACGCGCTCATCATAACATGTCGCGTATACGGTCCTGTTGTGCAGCAGGACGTCCCAAGTCCAAGGGTTGGCATCAGTCAGCGATGTGATGCGCGGTGCGGGACCTACACTTCACGCGGTGGTCTTCGCCGAAAGCTGTGTGAATGCACCTAGAAGTGTCACGGAATGCACCTAGAGGTGTCACGGAATGCACCTAGAGGTGTCACGGAATGCACCTAGAGGTTCACGGAATGCACCTAGAGGTGTCACGGAATGCACCTAGAGGTGTCACGGAATGCACCTAGAGGTGTCACGGAATGCACCTAGAGGTGTCACGCACGGTACAGCACATAGCCAGAGGATGATGGCCTTCACTGAACGCTCTGCAGAGCGATGGCCCATGATGCGACCCTGTAGCCAATGTGGCAATGCTGTCTGCACCCAACGTCTAGCTTTTCAGGTGATCTGCCGTCTCACGCCCAAGTCTGGAGATGTTGCCGCTCGCTGCCATTGCTGCGCAGATGTGGTGCTGGACATGTACCCACTCTGGCGCTGGACGCCGTACCCGCTCTGGCGCTGGACACCGTGTTCACTCTGGCGCTGTACACCGTACTCGCTCTGGCGCTGGACACCGTACCCGCTCTGGCGCTGGACACTGTGCTCGCTCTGGCGCTGTACACCGTGCTCGCTCTGGCGCTGGACACTGTACCCGCTCTGGCGCTGGACACCGTACCCGCTCTGGCGCTGGACACCGTGCTCGCTCTGGCGCTGGACACCGTGTTCACTCTGGCGCTGTACA